GCAGTCATCTGCCCTGTGGGTGCAGGCAACCTAACTGGGTTCCTCAGAAAGAGCAGCAATCATTCCTAACCTCTGAACCATTTCTCCAGCCCCGGGTGACACATCTTCAAAGCTTTTTTGTTATTTATTTTTGCGGATGCATTCATGCGCGCATGCAGGTGCACCTGTGCCACAGCCTGTGAATACAGATCAGAGGACAATCTGTGGAACCATTTCTTTCCTTCTACCATGTCCCTGAGAAACCTGGCTTAGATGGTCAACCCAGAAGGCAAGCATTGTTTAGTGCATGCTATTCCATCTTGTCCACCCATATTTTTACAGGGTATCCTTACTTATAAAGGTTATCTTGTTAACTGTGGATATTAAACCTCAAACTATAAGAGTAAGTTTAGTCACTAAGATAGCCATGTATAGTTCTGCATGCCTATCATCCCAGCATATTAGGAGACTGAGGCAGGAGGGTCACAGTTAGAGGCCAGTTTTGACTACATGGCAAGGATGTGTCTTGAGATAAATGAGAGTTATATATTGTATGTGTAAGTTGGGACTCAATCTCTGTCAATGTGGTAGACTATCTGTTAAGTGATACCTCACAATAAGCAATTGGGAAAGATAAATAATGAAAACATTTCACAACTGGGCAGTGGTGGCCCACACCTTTAACCCCAGCACTCAAGAGGCAGAGTCAGATGAATCTCTGAACTGAGGCCAGCCTGGTCTACATAGCAAGTTCCATAATAGCCAGGACTCTCAAACAAACAAAAACATACCCAGGCTGGTGGGACAGGCCTTTTACCCCGTGGGTACTTAGGAAGTGAAGCAGACAGATTGCAAATACAAGGTCAATCTAATAAACTGGGTGAGTTCAAGGCTAGCCCAACCAACTTGATGAGACACTGTCAAAATTAAAAAAAACACACACACCCCTTTCAAAATCCAAGAACTGAGGATATAGCCCATTGGTAGGGCACTTTCCTGGCACTCAGAAAACCCTTGGTTTGATCTCCAATATCTTTATCAATCATTCAATCAATCAATTATCTATCTGCCAGATGTGGTATTGCATGCCTGTAATCCCAGGAGGTTGAGGAAGAAGAATGCAAATTCAAGGCTGGCCTGGGCTCCAAAGAAAGCTCCTGTCTCAAAAAACAAACCATACGACAAAAAGCAACTACTTTCCAGCCAGGGGGTGGTGTCACATTCCTTTAATCCCACCACTTGGGAGACAGGTGGATCTCTGAGTTCAAGGCCAGCTTGGTCTACAGAGCTAGTTACAGGACAGGCATCAAAGCTACAGAGAAACGTTGTGTGGAGAAATCCAAAAGCAAAAACAAAACAAAACACCAAAAACAACAACAACAAAAAACAACCATCTTTCAAGCTCATTTTACATTTGATTATTGTTTTATTTGTGTGTGTGCAGAGATGCTTACCTGTGCAAGCATGTGTGGAGACCAAAGGTTGATGTAGGATATCTTCTTCAGTAGTTTGCCTCCTTTAAAAAAAAGAATTAGGGTGAAGGGATGGCTCAGTCCCTAAGAGTACTGGCTGCTCTTCCAGAGCACCCAGGTTGGATTTGTAGGACCTACCTGGCAACTCACAGCTGTCTGTAAGTCCAGCTCCAGGGGATCCGATGCCCTCTTCTGGACTCCACAGGCACTGCAGGCATGTGCTACACAGACATGCACCTAGACAAAACACCCACCACCATAAAATAAAAATAAATAAATAAAAATAAAGGAGTGCATACTACTCTTCCCGAGGACTCAAGTTCAATTCCCAGCACCCAAATCAGGTGGCTCACAATGGACTATAACTCCAGCTCCAGGGACTCCAACATAGCACCCTGTTCTGGGTTCTGTGGGCACTTGCATGTACAAGCACATACCTACATAGGCAGATAAATACTTTTTTTTTGGTTTTTACGAGACAAGGTTTCTCTGTGTTGTTTTGGAGGCTGTCGGACCAGCCTGGCCTTGAACTCACAGAGATCTGCCTGCCTCTGCCTCCCGAGTGCTGGGATTAAAGGCATGCGCCACCACTGCCCGGCGATACTTTTTTAAATTTAAATTTTATTATTCTCTCTCTCTCTCTCTCTCTCTCTCTCTCTCTCTCTCTCTCTCTCTCTCTCTCTCTCTCTCTCTCTCTGTTTGTATGTACATGCCACTTGTTGTAATTTAAGAAAAGCAGTGCATGAGAGAAAGATGCCATGCAACAGGGTTCAAGCAGAGTTTTTTGTTTTGTTTTGTTTTTTTAATTAGGGAAAGGGATCCTAAAAAGGGGAAAGGGGGGGACCAGCCTCTGGGGACAGGAGCAGCAGGAAAGAGGAGCAGAGAAAGGGAGAGAGACACAGACAGACAGACAGAAGGAGAGAAAAAAAGAGAGAGGAGGATGGGAGGTGGGAAGGGACATTTTAAAAGGGAGCATAGTGAATGTGCACAAGTGGTGCTCATAGTGGCTGCAGCTGAGGGCATATCCAGTCAGAACCCCAAGGGCAGGCCAGTACAGACGTCTGAACACTAACACCACTACATGCATCTGGAAGTCAGAGGACAACTTTGTGGAGTTCGTTTCCCTTTTACAGCTTTTATAGTTCTGGGGAATCAAAGTCAGTTGTGTGGCAAATGCCTTTACTCCCTTAGCCATCTCACTAGCCTAAGCCTTAGTGTTTGAGACAGGCTCTCTCACTGAGCATGGAGCCTGCTGATCATTGAGTTCCTGGGAGTCTCCGTTTCTCCAGGTCCTCATGCTTGCACAGCAAGCACTTTACTGACGGAGCCATCTCCCCAGCCCCGAGACAGATTTTAGATGACAGCGGTTATGACAGAAGGGAAGTGGGCCTTCCCTGAGAGGGTGATAATGGGGCTAATCTTGACAGATACAAGGCTCTGCACAGACAGGATGGAGCAAAGAGGGTACCCGGGACTCAAGGCAGTGTGCGCAGCAGGTGGTGTGTGAAGAATCACTCTAACCAAATCATCAGAATCAACTTAGCGTATTTGCTATGATGAAATGTGTGAGTCTTCAGTGTGCCTAAATCTTTATAGAGCTTTAAAAATTATATTTATTTATTTATTTATTTATTTATTTATTTATTTATTTATTGAGGGGCAGGTGCCTGGGTAGAGACCAGGGGACAACTTTTAGAAACTGGCTCTCTCCGTCATGGGGGATCCAGCCATTTAACTCAGGTCACAAGGCTTGACAGCAGGCACCTTTAACTGCTGAGCCATCTTGCTGGCCCAAACCAAAAAAAAAAAGCAGTTTAAGCACCTAGGCAACATTCCTGATGTGTCCTTTACCAACCTAAGTGTCCCACCAGTCTGTGGACACCAGACATTTTCAATGGATTGCCCCTGTCTGTCATCTGCATGGGAGTCCATGACATGTACTCTATGTCTTGCTTAATAGACTTGGTGCTACATTTGTGTTGTTGACATTTTTGTTTGTTTGCTTCTGATAATAACAGTTCATTCCTTTTAATTGTTGTAATTGTTTCAATTACTACACCTGAATATTCCATAAATACACCACAGGTTATTTATAGTCTACATTTGCAGATACTTAAAAATATTTTATAACTGGGCAGTGGTGGCACACAACTTTAGTACCAGCACTTGGGAGGCAGAGGCAGGCAGATAAATCTCTGTGAGTTTGAGGTCTACAGAGTGAGTCTGATCTATACAGTGAGTTCCGGGACAGGCTCCAAAGCTAAACAGATAAATCAAAAGAAAAATTACTATTATTGTGCATATTCAAGCATGATGTGAGTGGAGTGTGCATGCCCTGGTGGGTTTGTGGAACTCAGACAACACTGTGGGATTAATTAATCTCCATCCATCTTTACATGGGTCCGAAGGATCGAATTCATGTTGTTAGGCTTACTCAGCAAGCAGCTTTACCCACTGAGCCCTTTCACTGGCCCACAGCGGTGGATATTTATTTCTACTTTTCATAGTGTAAAGGATGCTCCTATAAGCTTCTTGTACCTCTATCTAAGAGCTACTGTTTAGCTAGGACTTAGAGCATCAGAACAGCAATTGTTTTTGCTGGGGGAGGCTTTGGTCTGACCACATTTTTAAGATTTAATTTTACTAATTTCTAATATCTTTCTTTCACCCCTCCCTCCTTCATTCTCTCTCTTATTTCTGTATTTTCTTAAGCATCTTTTTTTCAGACAGGGTCTTACTATATATCCCTGGCTGGAATTTGATATGTGGACCAGGCTGGCCTCAAACTCACAGAGATCCGCCTGCCTCTGCCTCCCGAGTGCTGGGATTAAAGGCATGCGCCACCACCGCCCGGCACTTTTGCTTTTTTTTTTTTTTTTGAGACAGGTTTTTTCTGTGGCTTTGGAGGCTGTCCTGGAACTTAGCTCTTGTAGACCAGGCTTCTTTCAAACTCATAGAGATCCACCATCCTCTGCCTCCTTAGTGCTGGGACTAAAGGGGTGTGCCATCACCGCCTGGCCCCTTTATGTATTTTAAGACAGCAATTCATGTAGCTCAAGCTAGCCTGCAGCATTCCATGTAACCATGAGGATGACCCTGAACCCCTGCTTTCACCTCCCAAGTGCTAGGATTACAGGTGTAAGCCACATCCCCCAAATTTGTTGGTGTTTCTTCTGCTTTGTTTTTCAGACATGGTCTTCCTGTGTAAGTGCACCCTGGCCTTGGATTTTTGATCTTCCTGCTTCTGCCTGTTGAGGGCTAGAATGATAGGCATGAGCTCCACACCTGGTTTCCAACAACGTTTTTTTGGTTGTCACATCTTAGACACAGATGCCACCAGCATCCAGTGAGTGGAAGCCTGAGGTGCTGCTGAGCATGTACCCCCACTACAAAGAGCTGTGCCATTATAAAGGTGAGCAGAAGCATTGCTGGTCTAAAGTTGAGTTTGGAGGTCTTCGGATGCTATAACCAAGTTTACATCTGGCAGGTGATGGGGAGGCTGTGAATGATGGCTCTGGAGTGGCTCCAAACAACACCAGGCATCCACAGCTAGACAAGCTCAGCTTGCTGGACCACTCCCATCGTCCTCTGGCTGACTACCCGTTGGAGGGCACCCTGCATGTCCCGATTGCGCAGTGTGTAGATGGCCGGGTACAGCAGGGGTGTGAGGTTTATGTAGATGAGGGACACCAGCTTATCTTCCTCCAGGGAGCGGCTGCTCAAGGGTCTGGCGTACATGGCTGTGGCACAGCCATAGTGGAGCACGGCCACTGTGAGATGGGATGCCACCGTGTTGAATGCCTTGCGGCGGCCAGCGCCATCCCCCACCCCCAGGATGACCACCAGTACCCTGGTGTAGGACAGCAAGATGAGGATTAGGGGCAGCACCAGTAGAAGCATACAGGCTGCCAGTAACACGTGTTCCTGAAGGTCCCGGTTCCCACAGGCCAGAATCAACACGGCTGGGAGGTCACAGAAGACGTGATTGACAAGGCCACCATGGCAGAAAGGCAGCTGGAATATAGCCGTGGTGAGGCCTAAGGCTAGGACAGAGCCACCCAAACAGCAGGAAGCTAGAAGGGCCCAGCAGAGCCCAGTGGTCATGAGTTGAGGGTAGTAGAGAGGGCGGCAGATAGCCAGGTAGCGGTCCAGGGCCATGGCTGCCAGCAGCAGGCACTCAGAGCCACCCAGAGCCACGAATAGACCCATTTGGGCAGCGCAGGTAGAGGGCGCAACCGCCTGGCCACCGGGAGGCAGGAGGAATCCAGCCAGCATTCGTGGAGTGAGTACCAGCGTGTAGGCCACCTCGACTGCAGACAGTGAGCCCAAGAAGAAGTACATGGGTGTGTGCAAAGTGGGTTCTGCCAGGGCCAGGCCCAGAATGAGCAAGTTCCCAGCCAGGGTGGCCAAGTAGAGTGGCAAGAGGAGCGAGAACAGCAGCACGCGGAGGCCCTGAGGCCACCCGGAGAAACCTAGGATAACAAATTCCTGCGGTGCGGTCCAGTTGGGCTCAGACCAGTGGCTCGAGTTGGGGCCTGGTGGAGGACAAACCAGAGAGAAGCATCATGGTGGACATCTTCCTCCTAAGATCCGTGTGCCTTTATCTTCTCCTGGACCCAGGAACTCTGTGTCAGCCCTCTATATCCTGCCCTGTGACGGTTTGTTTTAATATTTTTTATTATTATTATATGTATCTACATGCGAATGTGCCCGTGGGAGACAGAAGAGGACACTGGATCTCCTGGAGATGGAGTTACAGACTATTGTGAGCTGCCCAGTGTTGGTGCCGCAAGAGAGCTTGAGGCTGGTAACAGCCAAGGGTCTTAATGAACAATAGCCCTGCATATATGGATTAAGCCATAGTGACGACTAAAACTGTCTCATGACTGAGGCCTCCTCCTCTATGCTCCACACTCTGTGTTCAACCACCCTCTTCCCTGCAAGCATTTCCACTCACACACCAAATTCCATGCGGTCTTATTTTGACTTGACTCATGGTTTTCAAGTCAAACCTCCCTTTTTTTCTGGACATAGAGCTTACCAGGACTGGAAATAGGTAGTCCTGGATCAATTTTCTCTCTAGCACCTTCAAGTAAAATGAGGGACCATACTCTGCCAAAGGAACCTCATTCCACACTTCCTTCTATCTCATGATCTTCCTTGTCTTTCTCCTGGGCAGTCACAACTGACCCTAGTGGGTCCATTCACTCCCAGTGAGAATCTTTTAATCACACTTTAAAGTCTGACTGTATGTGCTTGTGCTTGTGCTTGTGTGCGCGCAATATGCGTGTGTGTGTGTGTGTGTGTAGACCGAATGTCAATATTCAGTGACTTCCTTAATCCCTCTCCATCTTATTTTTTTTTTTTTGAGACAGGGCCCCTCATTGAACCCAGGGCTTATTATGCGTGTCTCTTTAATGTGGGTTCTGGGACTTGAACTCAGGTCCTCATGCTTGTAAACAAGCACTTTGCTGACTGAGTTCTCTCTCCAGCTTCACATTTTATTTTTATTTTATTTTGAAACAAGTTCTCTGTATGCGGCTCAGGCAGACTTCAGATTCATGATCTTCCTGCCTCAACTTCCCACGTGCCTTGGTTGTCCTTCTAATGACTTCACCACCAACTGTAGTGAGGTTTTTTTTTTTTTTTTGGTTTTTTTCGAGACAGGGTTTCTCTGTGGCTTTGGAGGCTGTCCTGGAACTCACTTTGTAGACCAGGCTGGCCTCAAACTCACAGAGATCCGCCTACCTCTGCCTGCCAAGTGCTGGGATTAAAGGCATGTGCCACCAACGCCCGGCTGAGTTTTTTTTTTTTTAATCAAGAACAGAAGTCAGGTCCTTGCTTCATTATCTACCCCTTGCTTTCAGGATGAATTTACTTCCCTCAGCTCATTTCTCTCATCATCCTTCATGATGTTGAGGCAGCCTCACTGCTCATCAGTTTCCTCTCTGCACCGTGACCCCGTTGGATGGTCTCTGTTCCCACATGCTCCCTATCTTTCTATCTGCTATTTTCTTTCTGGATTCCTCTGGGACCTCATACTGTCTATCTGGAAATTTTTAGGCTGAGTGTATAAGTCTGCTGTATAGAACTTATCCAGTGAGGGGCTGAGGTGCGGTTCAGTGGTAGAGCACCTGCCTAGCAGGCAAAAGGCCCTGACTGACATCCTTGGCACTGCCAGCAAAACAAAATAAACACACACGCATAGACCCCTCTAGACTGTTTGGAAAAGTTCTATTCAACCTCCAAAGCTGCAGTACTTATATGCCTGTCCCCAGGCAGGTTGGATGTCACTCTCTGAAGCTACAGTTGCCACAGCAACACTACCAACCTCAGCCTTCTGGGATGGACAGTCTGAGCTATGGCTGTGTTGTTTACTGAATTACTGAACGTTGAGGAATCAATTCTCGCACATGTGTGATGCACTACCACAGGCCCTTAGTTATCTCCCCAGCCTGCGTTTCCAGCCCTGTGACCTCAGAGAGCCCCTGGCCTCACCCTTCCATACAGTAACTGCTCCAGATTCTCCCTAAACATGTTCTTGACACTTTCCATCCCTGTGACCATCGGCCTCAGCTGAGATGTGCAACTAATCACTTTCCTATTCAATACCTCCGGAGCTATTAGAATCGATCCATCTCCACACCTGGCTACCAAAGGTCATGTCAACTGTGTTATGCATTTTCTCTCTTTCTCTTCTCATCCTCCATGCCTTAACATTTTCCTTCACCATCATCATCTTCATCATCACCCCGTTATTACCATCATCACCACTATCATCACCGCCATCATTTTTTTATGATGCTTCAGATGGACAAGTCTTCTACTATTGGATGACATCCCTACCCCCTGATAATTTTGAGACAGTGTTTCACTGTACAGTTCATGCTGGCTTCAGACTCTAAAATCAATGGTTCCCAACCAGTGGGTTGTGACCCCTTTAGGGGTTGAACAACACTTTTATAGGGGTCACAAAAAAGAGTCACAATAGCAGCAGAATTATAGTTATGAAGCAGCAACAAAAACGATTTTATGGTGGGGGGCCACCACAACATGAGGAACTGTATTAAAGGGTTGCAGCAGTGCGGAGGTTGAGAACCACTGCTCTAACTCCTCCTGCTGCAGCCCCTTGAATATTGAGAGTATAGGTATATGCTACTGCATCCAGATTTTTTTTGAGGAGCCTGAAGTATTTTTGGAGGCCAAGCAACCATCCTTCCACTGAGCCATATCTCTAGTCCCCCTTAAAGACTAACTCAAGCTCTGAGACTGGAGAGATGAACTCAAGAGATGGGAAAATATTTGTCTTATGAGCATGAGGACCTGAGTTCAATCCCCAGGACCCGTTTTCTTTCTTTCTTTTTGTTTTTTTAAAGGCAGGTATGGAGACACACACCTATAGCCCCAGCACTGAGAAGGTAGAGGTAGGATTCTTAGGGCTCACTGGCCATCTAATGTGGCATAGTTGCTGAGTTTGCGGCAAGCAGTCCACATTCATGCACACGGGTGTACCTGCATACACTCTAGCATGCATATACAACAAACACGTACAAAGGTAACTCAAGTTCATCTCTCCCCAGAAGCTCAGCTGGCTGGGTCCAGTCCCTGCTTCCTTAGAGGTGCTCACCCACCTACCTTCAACGCCATGAGACCGAGAGAGTAGGCTGAGATGAAGTCCCACCATCACTGGAGCTGTCCTCTGTAGTTAGTCAATGGTTCCTCTCCTCACTGGAGGCCCACAATGTCTCTTCTCCATCTGTTATTTTGTGGCACTATAAAAAGTTGAGTTTGTAGTTGTGTTCTTATTTCAAAATAAGCTGTCTTTTTTTGTCTTTTCCCTATGCAGCCCTGGCTGTCCTGGGACATGCTTAGTAGGACGGCTGACCTTGAACTCATAAATCCACCTGCTGGGATTAAAGGTAAGCACCACTGCCACCAGCCATAAACTGTCTTTTAAAAAATATGTACATGTGAGCACATATACCTGTCTGTGTGAGTGTGTGTCACGCTGGCTAGAGGTCACCCCAGAGATCTTCCTCAACAACTCTCTTCTTTTTAGAAGATTTTACTTTAGTTCTGTGTATTTGTGTCTCTGTGTGGATATGTGCACCTATGTGTGGGTGCCGGAGGGGGCCAAAGGAGGCTGTTGGATTCCCTGGAGCTGGAGTTACAGGTGATTGTGAGTCACCAAATGTGTGTGCTGACAACTGAACTTGGCTCCTCTGGAAGTAGCCAGTGTTCTTAATGCCTAAGCCATCTCTCCAAACCCTCCACCTTATTTAGGTCTATTACTGAACCTAGAACTCACTGATTTGGCTAAGACTGGTTGGCCAGCAAGCCCTGGGGTCCACCTCCCCAGCACACACTGGCACACCTGGCAGTTACATAGGTGCCAGTGGTCGGAACTCAGGTCCTCATTCTTGCAAAGCACACACTTTACCCACTGGGTCGTTTTCACAGCCCCTATATCACTCTTTATTTTTTTGAGACAGGGTTTCTTTGTGTTCTTCAGATTGTCTTAGGACTTACTCTGTAGACCAGGCTGGCCTTGAATTTACAGAGATTGGCCTGTCTTTGCCTCTTGAGTGCTGGGACTAAAGATGTGCACCACCATGACCGACTTCATCTTATTCTTTTGAAAGATAGTTTAGGCTTCTCAAAAAATCCTAAAAATATTAATACATACAGTGCCTGTAAACCCACCACTGGAGAGGTTAAAGCAGGAGGGTGGTGAGTTCAAGACCAGCTTGGGCTCAATAATGAAGCCCTGTCTCAAAAGCATCAATGAGGACAGCAAGGTGGCTCAGTGAGAGAAGATGCCTGCTGTCAAGCCTAACAGCCTGAGTTTGATCCCCAGGACCCACACAGAGGGAGGAGAGAGCCCATTTCCCCAAGCTGTCCTCTGACCTATGCTTGCAATAAAGGAATACATGGATTTTTTTTCTGAAGGTGTGTGATAGTCTTAATCCAAAGACTTATAAGGCAAAGGCAAGCAGATCTCTGTGACTTCAGACTAATAATCTAGAAAGCAAATTCTTGGCCAACTACGGCTACATAAGTGAGATTCTGTCAAAAAAAAAGTTAAGTAAAACCCTTTAAAGGAAATAATTATATAAGCAGAAGATGTTTTACTTGATCTAAGCACCACACAGCAACTAGACATTAAAACATACTTTTTTGTGTTTTTTTTGTTTTGTTTTGTTTTTTGTTTTTTTGAGACAGGTTTCTCTGTAGCTTTGGAGGCTGTCCTGGAACTCGCTCTGTAGACCAGGCTGGTTTCGAACTCACAGAGATCCGCCTGCCTCTGCCTCCTGAGTGCTGGGACTAAAGGTGTGCGTCACCAATGCTCAGCACTTTTTTGTGTTTTTAAAAAGATTTCTTTTTGTTTTGCCTATGTGTATACTTGCAGTGCCCGAGAAAGTCAAAAGAAGGCATAGGATCCCCTCAAACAGGAGATAGAGACCATTGTTAGCCTCCATGTGAGCCCTGGGAATCTAACCACGTCCTCTGGAGGAACAGCCACTGAGCAACCACTGAGCTGTCACTCCAATTTTATTTATAATTTGTCTTTTGTTTATTTGCTTTGTTGTTTGCTCCAAAAATTTTGTTTTTATATGCCAGCTAAAAATAAAAATTTAAAGGCCTTTGCTTTCTTTTCAAGAGCTCATGAACAAGTCTGAAGGTCAGACTGTGTGGTACACACCTGCATTTCCAGCACTTGGGAGACTGAGGCAGGGGGATCTTGAGTTTGAGAGGTCTGCTTAGATAATGAGACCCTGTTTCAACTTCCCTAACTAACTAACTAACTAACTAACTAACTAACTAACTAACTAACTATCATCACCATTGTCGTCAGGAGATTCTGTCTCCTGAGTGCTGGGATTAAAGGTGGGAGCCACCATGGCCTGGCTACGAATGATAAATGTTACTCTGAGATACCATCTTGCTCCTGTCAGAGTGGCTAAAATAAAAAATACCAATGACAGTTTATGCTGGAGAGGATATGGAGAAAGGGCAACATTCCTCCACTGCTGGTTGGAGTGCAAACTCTTACAGTCACTATGGAAATCAGTCTACCATAAGATCCAGTAATTCCACTCTTAGGCATATACCCAAAAGATGCACATTTATACAATAACTATGTTCGTAGCATCATTATTTGTAATAGCCAGAACCTGGAAGCAACCTAGATGCCCCTCAACTGAAGAATGGATAAAGAAAATGTGGTACATTTACACAATGGAGTTCTACTCAGCAGAAAAAAAATCAATGGAATCTTGAAATTCACAGGCAAATGGATGGCACTAGAAGAAACCATCCTGAATAAGGTAACCCAGTCACAAAAAGACAAATATGGTGTATACTCACTCATATGGATTTTAGACATAGAGCAAAGGATTACCAGAGAAGTTAGGAAACAAGGAGGATCCTAAGAAAGACATACTTGGTCCCCCGCAGAAGGGAAAAGGAACAAGATCTCTTGAGCAAATTGGGAGCATGGGGGGAAGGGAGAGGGAGTTAGAGAAAGAGAAGGGGAGAAGAGGAGGGGAGAGGAGGACATGAGGGAGCAGGAAGATTGTGTTGGGGGAAGAATAGAAGAGAGCAAGAAAAGAGATACCAAAATAGAGGGAGTCATTATAGGTTTAAAGAGAAATCTGGCACTAGGGACATGTCCAGAGATCTACAAGGATGACCCCAACTAACAATCTAAGCAATAATGGAGAGGCTACCTTAAATGCTCTTCTCCGATAATGAGATTGATGACTACCTTATATGCTATCCTAGAGCCTTCATCCAATAGCTGATGTAAGTAGAATCAGACACCTACAGCTAAACACTGATCTGAACTCCTGGCATTCAGTTGCAGAGAGGGAGGAGTGATGAGCAAAGGGATCAAGACCAGGCTGGAGAAACCCACAGAAACAGCTGACCTGAACAAGGGGGAGCTCATGGACCCTAGACTGATAGCTGGGAAACCAGCATAGGACCAACCCAGAACCCCTGAACGTGGGTGTCAGTTAGGAGGCTTGGGCAATCTATGGGGCCTCTGGTAGTGGATCAGTGTTTATCCCTAGTACACGAATAGACTTTGGGAGCCCACTCCACATAGAAGGATGCTCTCTCAGCCTAGACACATGGAGGAGGGTGTAGGCCCTGCTCCAATGATATGACAGACTTTGAAGATCCCTCATGGAAGGCCTCATTCTCCTTGGGGAGCAGAAAGCAGATGGAATAGGGGGCTGGTGGGGGGCAGGGGAGGAGGGGAGGGAGAGGGAACTGGTATTGACATGTAAAACCAACTTGTTTTTAATTTAAATAATAATAAAAATATATCTATTGTTTAAAAAAGTAAGCAAAAGCAAGCAAGCAAAAAACAAGCAAACAAACAAAGAGAAGAAACCAAGGCTCTTCCTAGCTGTCCCAGTGTGTGTAGGTGTCAGTGCACAAGTGCTGGTGCACACCCTTTCGGCTCTGGGCTACCCTCAGGTAACAGTGAGCTCTAGGACTTGGTCTTTGATGTGGTATGGCGGTGTTGTTATTGAAGCAGGGTCTTGTGTAGCCCAGGTTGGCCTAGAATTCAATACATAGCTGAGGATGACCCTGAACTCGACCCAGCTCTTCCTCCCTGAATGCTGACTTGACAGACATGTGCTACCACACCTAGTTTCTGTGCATGCCAGATACACACTATCAACTGAGCCAAGTCCTCAGCCCTCTGGTGATGTGTTACCCAAGTCACATTTCTCC